GATTTGGCAGCCATTCAGAAAACTCAATATGGGACTGGTTTGAAACTACGACCTAAATTTCATGGACCGTATAAAATCATAGCTGTTCGATCAAATGACAGATATGAAGTCGAGAAAGTAGGATGCCATGAAGGACCGAATTTGACATCTACTGCGGCTGACCATATGAAGCCAGGGTCAAATTGATTTGATGTGTGTATCAGCTCAAAGCCTAAGGACCTGATACTCGTTTTTTTTTTTTCTTCTTTTTTGTTTTTTTTATTATCTTTGCAGGTACATGATAGTGATGTCCATTCAACAGACATCGAGGACGATGCCTCTTCAGGCTGGCCGAAGCTGTGGGAGTCATCAACGTCCAATGCTGAATTAGAATACCAGGATTATGACGTCATCAGTATAGCATCACCCAGCGCAGTAAGAATCATCCCAGACAGCGCTGAGACCTGGTCGAGAGTGGAGGGCAGACGTGAGCAGACGGCTCACACGTCTTCAAGAGTTTATGAACTTTAATTGTGCTTTCGATGTTATGCCTTTACATCATTATGTTAATCCTGCATACCGTTAACTTCATCTTTATATACTTTTCTTAATTACTTTTATTTCTTTATATTAAATAAACCATTTAAATATTACTTCGTGCTCTCATGCTGTGAATCAAGTCAAATTCTACATATATATATATTATTTAATAGAGAAATATTGATTATATTATCTCCTAAGATTAATTTTAGTAGAATTATCTTAAAAGAGTGAATCCATAGTTAGTAAGTTATATTTCGAAAATTGTTTTAAAGTAACTTGAATGTAAATTGTTAAAAGTGTTTAACGGGGACTTGAATTAAATCATGAATAACAAAATTTCAATTGTAAAAATAAATAAATAAATTAAATGCAAGTAATCATTGCCATTGATCGGAAATTAGTTGACTTTTCAAGGGGAACAAACCAACTCCTGTTCAATGAACAATAATTAAGAAATAAATAGGAAGGTGTTTCGTACTTTACTCGAGTAATAAGGTGATGCCAAACTGGCAATTCAAGCTAGGCCAAATATTTCCGTGAATAGTATAATTTATTTACTAAAGAAATATTGCTTATACAGTCAAAAGTCGTTAATCCAGACTCGTCGGGACTTCGGCGATTCCGGATTATAGATCATCAGTTTAAATCTGGTAAGATGGCATGCAGTAATTATAAAATTAAAAATATGAAACCGCAATATATGAAATAAAGAACAATTATGATCTAAAGGATATCAAAATTTACAAAAAAAAAAGCTTAATATTTATTTGTTTACTTTATTGTCTTCTCTATCGGAAGCGAATTATAATGACGAAGAATTTGATTTAAATCATATCAAAGACGGAGTACATCGAGTTGAAATACTGCATTTAGTAAGGAATGATAAGCCAAATAAAATAAAAACATCTGCCCTGAAGATAAGGATAGTGCTGACAGATCAACTTCCAATTCATTGCGCATCGCGGCGTCCCCCTGCCGCAGAGCAGCGTGAAATTGATAAACAGATTTCGGAATGGTTAGATAAACAAAGGATATGCCTTTATCCATTTTTTGCAGCAATTCCACTTTTTATTTAATGGACTTCAAAACATACTTCCGCTTTGTAGATGCTTTACATATTAGTAAATATATATCGGAAATTCTATTTGACATAATCGAAAGTTCAAGCTTACTTTTATAAAATTGCTCTAAGTCTGCAAAAAATAATAAGCCGGATCCAATTCGAAGATTAAGGAACAACGCAATCTGCAACATTAACTGAATTAGATAATTTTAGCTTACCTTACACCGTCGGTTATACATTAAGCGCGCATGCGTAAACGTATTTTGGCCATGCGCAAACGCATATTCGCAGCCATAAAGGTCTTACGTGCATGCGTCAATTTGGTGCATGCGCAGAAAGTTTGTAACTTTGAGGTCCGAATTACGACTTTTGACTGTATTATCTCCTAATATAAATTTAGTAGAAGTATGAAAAAAGAGTGAACCCATATGTAGGAAGTTTAATTCCGAAAATTGTGATTTAAAGTAACTTGAATGTAAATTATTAAAAGTATTTTATGGGGACTTGAATTAAATCATGAATAACAAAATTTAAAAATTTAAAAAAGAAATTAAATTAAAAGCAAGTAATTATCGCTATTAATCGGAAATTAGTTGACTTTTCAAGGGGAACAAACCAACTCCCGTTCAGTGAACAATAATTAATAAATACGAAGGTGTTTTGTCTTTTACTAAAGTAAGAATGGTTATGCCAAACTGGCAAATGTAGTTATGCCAAAATTGTAGTTCTGTGAAGTGATGGGATTTAGAACGAGAGTACCAAAGACTAAGTGAATTTAAGATTATATTATATATATATGTACATAATAATAATTTATTTACTAAAGAAATATTGATTATATTATCTCCTAAGATTAATTTTAGTAGAATTATCTTAAAAGAGTGAATCTATAGTTAGTAAGTTCAATTTCGAAATATACATATATTTATTTGTTTATTTTGCTCGTATTTGCAGTCCTGAGTGGTTAGCATTATAGTGCTTGTTGTCATGTTCTTAAGCTGAGGTTTAAATCCTTAGAAAGCTTGGTTATTTCTAAACATATAATGTCTGTCTGTTTGTGGCGCAGTGATACTGGGAGTGCTTTGAGTTCATCTCCTGGGAGATTAACCTTCAAAAATTGAGTTGGAACTGGGCAAAGTTGCACTGTCATCTATAAGGTGCTCAAGGCCTCTGCCATTGGCAGGCATAATCCTGTGCTTCTTGCCACGAGAAAATCCATAAACATGTTCTGATGTTACTGTTAAGTAAGTCAGAACAACAGCATAGTCATACAAGATACAATTAACATTTTGCTATGCCCAAACAATACTAATATCACTCGATGCTAAATGGTAGCACGTTTAGAATATCAAGAGAGAAATGTCTTGTTGCTTCACGTTAATGCATGGAAGAAATTAGTTAAGGCCTGTTTTCTTCTTTCCATCGTGTTTATTTTGTCCTCAAATGTAATTTTTGTGGTTTGTAGTTGGTACAAAGTATCAAAGCTTCAATAAGCCCTCAAGCAGTCTGAAATGATTATAATCCCAGAGCAAATGGATTCCCGAATAACACTAATAAGTATTTGTGTTTTGCGATCATGCACAGCCATAGGGAAAATTTCTTCATTTTCTTGTTCTATTCCTCTGAACGTCCACTACTTTTCCTCACAGTGGTCCCAATAATGCTTTCTTTTTCCATGTTTGCTTTTGTTGAATTCAGCTACTTTCCCAGGACCAGTAATCATATAGCTGTGCCTTTTGATGTGTTCAAAAATTCTTTCTCTGATGATTTGTCTTTAAAAGATCCAAAATCATACTTCTGATATGATCTAAAATCATACTTCTTCATTATCTTTCATGTACTTTTTTTCTGGTACAACATATGTCAATAATAAGATTTCTGACAGGCAGAGTGTACTTTTTGAAAAACACTAATGTATAAAATTAAGTTTAGATTTGCACAATGTTAAACAATAAAAATTTATTATATTTGTGACACAAAACTGAAAGATATACATTTATTTACAACTAATAAAGAGATTTAATATAAGACAAACAAATTCTAAAAATGGCTAGCAGTAATCTGAACATGCAAAGGTAAAACAGAATTACAAATTTTTGTAAACACAATTTCGATTACCATGTTCCTTAATTTGACTAAGTAAAGGCTAAAAAATATCATATCCATTTGTTTATGCTTCCTAGTTTAAATTACTATTCATTAAGCATAAATGACTGTCAGGTATTTTTTTTTTTTTTTCATATGACTTCTTTGCTTGAAGTAGCACATCCGAAGTAAAAATAAAATAAAAATAATTATGAATGTTGACTTGGTGTGAAATATTTGGAAAACAAGCAAGGCTCTATTAACTGCACTGCATAACGGATGTAAAGGTGGAATAAGTGACACACTATGTGCCACTTGAAATGTTAAGAAAATGAAGTTATGTGCAAATTTAGCCTATACAGTGAAAAGTTGTTAATCCGGACTTGTCAGGACTTTGGCGATTCCGGATTATAGCTCATCAATTTAAATCTGGTAAGATGGCATGCAGAAATTATAAAATTAAAAATATGAAACCGTAATTTATGAAATAAAGAACAATTATGATCTAAAAAATATCAAAATTTACAAAAAAAAAAAAAAAAGCTTAATATTTATTTGTTTACTTTATTAAACATTTCTTTCAATGTAAGTTGTTTTAAGTTGCTTTTCGTTTTATGTGATAATACTTTCTCTTTAATTCTATAAACAGACATAATTTCTTGTTCAGTTACAAAGTTCCGCTGTTCAAGTCCTATAATTGCTGTGTTGAGAATACCGACTAATTTGTCAATCGAAATTTTTTCATTTTCAATAACCTCTGTGTCACTTTCTTCATTATAGGAAGCGAATTATAATGACGAAGATTTGATTTAAATCATATCAAAGATGGAGTACATCGAGATGAAATACTACATTTAGTAAGGAATTATAAGCCAAATAAAATAAAAACATCTGCCCTGAAGATAAGGATAGTGCTGACAGATCAACTTCCAATTCATTGCACCCCCCCCGGCCGCAGAGCAGCATGAAATTGATAAAGAGATTTCGGGAGGGTTAGAAAAACAAAGGATATGCCTTTATCCATTTTTTGCAGCAATTCCACTTTTTGTTTAATGGACTTCGAAACATACTTTCGCTTTGTAGATCTTTTACATATTAGTAAATATATATCGGAAATTCTATTTGACATAATCGAAAGTTCAAGCTTACTTTTATAAAATTGCTCTAACAGTCTGCAAAAAATAATAAGCCGGATCCAATTCGAAGATTAAGGAACAACTCAATCTACAACATTAACTGAATTAGATAACTTTAGCTTAGCTTATACCGTCCGTTATACATTAAATGTGCATGCATAAATGTATTATGCGCATGCGCAGAAAGTTTGTAGCTTTGAGGTCCGAATTAACGACTTTTGACTGTATATTTTTCTTTTTTGTACTTTTTTAACAAGTATTTTACTAGACTTTTAACCACTTCCCAGTTTTGCCTGACCGCCGTTCGGGTACTTGGAAATGGTACTCTTTTGATTTTCCCGAGCGGTGCTCGAGCAACATTTTTTTCTAGTCCAATACACTAATTCGCTTGAATTTTTTGCTTGTTAAGTGTGTACTGTTTCTAACAGATGGTGCTAGTAATTCAGTAAAGTTAGAATTGCAAAACAACTGGTTTCAAGGTTAGGTTTTACTGAATTCTTTTACGCAAGTAAAGGCGCGAAATTTCTTTTCACAAGCTCGGTGTTCCGGCTGCTGGGAATACTATTTCTTTTAAATTTAGAGCTAAAGTAAAAGAAGACATGAATGATAATAACTGAAGAATGAACTTATAACTGAAGATAACTCAGATAGTGAATCTGAAATTTCACTAAATGGTTCTGGAAGTAATGACAGTTTGTTGTCTGACTTCTCTAGTGATGGAAAAACGGAAAGTATAGATAATCTAACGCAAATTTGAAACTTTTGTGAACTTGATATTAATAATTCTTCTTTCTTAATATTAATAATTCTTCTTTGGAATCAAACAGATATGTAATAACAATAAAACATTTTAAATTCTGACATCTGTTTTTGTAAAGTGTTCTTTCCAGTTTGCATACTTGTTCGAAAAAAAGCCAACTTTAAGGAAAAATGTGCTTTTTACGATGAAAATAAAAATTAACATAAATCAATAAATCTACACTTGTAATAGTTCTGACTACTGATTTGGGTTTATATACTGAATTTCTTCATAAAAATGTTTATAAAAAATATGCTTATTTTTTGTCGTAATATGACGGAAAAAAGAAACTGTTAAGTGGTTAAGCTGAAGATGTTAGAAAATGTTGTAAATGACCCTTCAAGAATGTGAGTTTAAAATGTGTGGCTTTTGTGTAAACATTCTTTCAAGGAACATACTGAAAAGTATTTTAGAAATTTATTAAAGTTTTAAAAATTCTGTAAAAATTTGCTTAGGCTAGAAGTATTGGAAATTTTTTAAATGTTGGATCTGTCCTGAATCTGTGACATTCATGTAGGCTTACCATTTACTGCCATAAAATAGTTAGATATCTAAAGCAAAAAATATTCACTTTTCATTTCTTTTTTAGTAATGCATATAGCATGCAAAGTGGTATCATAAGATAATTCAGAAATTCTTATTTAACTTTTTACACTTTTAACCCTCTCAGTATTATGGATGTAAAATTCCATGTAGAAGGTTGGTTTTCTTATTCATTACACATGAAAATTTCTGTCAGCTTTTAATATATCCGATTTCAGATGTGATGTTTATTGAAAGAAAATTAATCAAGGTACAAAGTGAGCAAGTCGTTTATTAATTATAAAAAAGAAAAATACCATATATTCATGATATTTTAAGGAACTTTGAAATATCAGGCCTAAACCTGTAATGCTCAAAGGGTTAAAGTATTCTACAACTAAATATTTAGAAGCAAAGGTTACATGAGAGTAATGAATTGAAGATTCCTTAACAAAGTGATATATCATCCCCTTATATCCTTGTTGTTAAATAATCAAAGGTGTTTCCTAAACTTTCCCTTGATTTTTGCTGTTTCTCTCATTTATATTTTCCTTTTATACTTTTACAGGAAAATGCAGCATCATGATTGCTGGCCTCGTTGTACTGGTTGTGGATGCGTGGAAGCTTATAATAAATTAACAACTGATGTCTCAATTAGCAAACGGCAATTCTTCAGCCAATAATTCTATCACAACATTTGAGCTGTTGGTGTTTTTGTATAAAAACTTTGCATTTGTATAATGTTTTATTGGCTATTTTGAATTTATTTTACTTTGTGTTTTCACAAGTGTTTGTTGAACACTGTGTTTCATAAATATTTTTCAATATTTATGTCTGTATATTTTCCTTATAATAAAAATTATCTGTGTTGTTGAATAATTTATATTTTTAGTAATTACATATGTGTGTGTATGTATATATCAGGGTTCGTACGGTCCTTAAAAGTCCTTAGGTTTTTTTTATTCGATTTTTGATCCTTAAAAGTCCTTAATTTTGGCCAAAATCGCCAGAAGGTCCTTAATCTTAATCATCTGAATTCCCCCCCCCCGACTGCTATTTTGAGTGTAAATTATCATTTTGGAAGAATATTTTAGACGATTCTCTGGCAAATATAATTATCTTTTATCTTATTATATATTATATATGATAAAATGTCTGATGTGAAAATATGATTATTTTTATTGTAGCTTGATTTTATGATGAAAATATGATTATCTTTTAGTGCTCTCTAAAATTCTGCTCCCAGTGCCTGTTCTAAATTCTAAATGTTTTGCCATTTCTAGATTAGGTCCTTGATGTGTCACTAAATTTTAAAAGTTCTGCCTCATCGGCTCTGAAACCAGCCTTTACCATATATCATTTTATATTTGTTCTGGAATGTTCAGCTTTTTCTTTACATTCTAAATGCATCTGCTTTTTTAGGATAACAGAAATCTTTAATTAATTCCGAAAATTCTAAAGTGAAGATGAAACGTGTTGAACAAAGAAACTGAGTACATAAAGAGGAATAAAATTATTCTTCAAAGATATGTACAGTTATTATTATGTAAATTAAGTTTATAATTTTAGCCTTATAAGTTCCCCTTTTCATTTCCTCATCATAATGCAAATCAGATAGTTTTTAAACTGAGGTTTTTGGATTGTAAAACAGTGTGTTTTTGCCCTTCACTTGGATGTTGCTTTAGTTCCTGCCAGCTCTGATAATTTGTAATTATTCATCTTTGCTTTATTGCTGCTAACATTTGAATTTGTTCCGACGATAGAGTTACTGAGCCAGTTTAGATTAAAATTAAATTGTGTAGTCTTTGACTACTAGTCCACATTTCTAGTTTTAATTTGAATGTTCCGGTTTATTTGCATTACCACAAGCTGTAGTTGACTTTGTTAGCATAAGAATGTGGCTTGTCAGTATAAGAAAGGTGGCTGTATGTTCCAAGTTCTTTTTAAATAAAAGGTTTATTTAAACCTTTATGTGACTTCTTAGTTACTTTCAGATTTGGTGATAATTTGCTTCATGTTTATCAGAGGTTTAGGACAATTTAACTTTTACCAGATTAAGTAAAACCTCGTTAGGATTAAGAAATTGGCAGGTTAGGAGATAAAGCGCGCAGAAACTAGTGGGAACATTGGTTTGTGTATTGAAACAGATTGCATAAATATTTTGTTGTGTGTTGTTGCTATAAAGCATAAATGTTTTGTAGCTTTTAATGTGGAATTATCCTAATACCATTTAAGAATCAATGTCATAAATTACATGCATTTTAAACTGTGAAATCTTATTAGATTGTGATTATAATAGTACTTTTTTAACAAATGTTTCTTTAAAATAAATAAAATTTAATAATCGTCATGCAAATCTATAACGACTAAGGGTATTTAACTACCTAATTTAATTATTTATAACTAATTGCTCGCCTTTAAAATTTATCTCTGCATATTAAAGCGAGTTATTGCCTTTCATTAATCCTGACTGACACAAGGTACAACACAAAAATGTAAAAATTAATGTAAAACATATTCTTTGCATCTAGTCAGACTTAATACATTAGTGGCTGGTGCATTAATGGCTTATTGGAACCTTAAAATATATTAACTGGGTTACAATCCCAGAAACTCTACATGAAGATACAACACTAACTGCATCAGACAGACGGAGCACAACTAACTTTCAAAACTTGTCAAACATATTTTTTAAATTTTCGTTTTACTTTTTCTGCTTCTGTAACTTTTTTTATTTTTGCAGTGCACTGATTGCTACCCTGATCAACCCGAACGATATCTGACAGTATGTTTTGTCAAATTATTATGGAAAACCAAAATACACACAGAATTTCTTTCCAGTGGATTCTAGCCCAATGTGGATTATGGTCAATGAAAAAGCTGATACATTGGCTAAGAAAGGAACTTTGATAATGCAACGCACTAATCGACCGCCTTCTTTTCATACAACTAAATTGTTTGTTAACCTGACTCTTAAGAAAATTTTTAAGCAGGATATGACTCAAATGTGCTGTAGATAAGAGATGGAGGATTCTGGGGGAAGAGACAACTTTCATTCCCAGTTTTCCAAGAATTCTGCAGAGTTGGAGTGGTGGATTCCCCAAACTGTTTTATGTGACTCCAATCAGCCTATGATTTTTTAACATTTAAATAATTATATTGCACTTTCTCAGTATGAGGACATTGTTAAGAAGTACTGGAGAGCCCGGGAACTAATTGCTTAAGTGCTAATGTTTGGCATTTGCAAAATAAAAAATAAATAGACCACCAAAATAGTGCCTACTTTATGCCTTTTGCTGTATAAATTAGTTTTATTCGTTAATAGTTTGCATCATACACTATTTGTAATTAAGTTAATTTTATTTCATAACTTTAATTTTTATTTATTAATTATACATAGTTTTACTGTAAATTATTGATGGTTTTTATTTTAAAAAATCTATTTAGTTTTTAGTATTTGGCAACATTTATATTATTTATATACAGACAACTTTTTTCCTGTTCCTTAACTCTTTTTAGAAGTAAGTAACTATAGGAGCATCTGCTGTGGAATGGTAAATATTCAACAGAAATATTTACTTTAAGTGTTAATGTGCAGAAAAACTGTTATGGATTATTCTAATTGAAATGTTATTGATATAAGATAAAAGTTTGGCCTAAGTTATATCCATAAATGTGTTTAAATCAGATGAAATTCTATTGTTAATTTTAGAATTTTTATAATTTAGAAACTTAAGACATATTCCTGCGTATTGTGATATAAACTGAGTAATTAAATATGAGTGTTTAAATATAGACATTAATGGTGTTAAAAAATCTGTTTTGTTTTTACTGCTTATTTTTTGCTTTGAATTTTTCCTCTTTGAAATCAAGTAACAATCAAATTCCACAAATTTGTTCCTCATGCATTTTATGACTAATTCGTTTTGGATGTCTTGTTATTGCATCTTAGACACACACACACACAGACATATATATTATCATTTATATATTTTTGTATAGTTTCTCCACTGAAAGTAATTTTTGTGTTTGACAGTTTTACCTGAAATAAAAGAGGAATATGATGATGGTTCGTATCAACAAAATGCATGTACTTCATTTCAACCACAGAGTGTACAGAAAGAAAATGATGGTAATTCTTTATATATTTTTTCATCATGCAATAAATTATTTAGTCTAGAGCACAACTGACAGGCATATGAACAGTCACATTAGAGAAAGCACATTTGTTTAGGTTATGCAAAAATTCATATATATATATAAACCTATATCACAGGCATTGAGATGTACAAGTCCCAAATAATTTGTTGGTGCAATATTCTTTGCAAGCTCAGGACACTTTCTCTTTGGGAATTGGAATTATAATGCTTTGAGGCTTAATATTCAGCACCCTATTTTTGCTCTATTTTGCTGCAGCCCACTCAGAGGCAATGAAAAACATTTCGGTCTTTTAAACCCATGGTATTTGTGGATTTGATATATTTTTTAGGGAAAGGAATAATATGCTTTTTCATTCTCATGTATTTATTTGTTAATTTAGTTTCTTTTTAAGGATTTTTTCAAATGTTGGTACATTTTCACCTAGTATGTTTATTATATCTCATTCAGTGTGAAATAATGGCTAAACATTAAAACCATGTCACAAAAGAAGAAATTTCGGATATATCACATGGCGAGATGAGCACAATGAAACATCTGTGGGGTGTGTTTCTGTGACAAATGTTTTTTGATGACTGAGAACAATGATTTTTCTATTTCCACAGATTTAGGTATTTCTTCAGAGTTTGAACTTTCATATTTCAGTCTCCTAGAGATTTACTGTGTGCAGTTTTACCAGGCAATCAGAAATAAAGCGTAAGTTTTGAGATAAGAAAAAGCTTTATTGCATAATTCTTTAACGAAGAGCTGATGAACAAAATTGTGAAGAAAAGCAGTCATTATGGGGCTCAAAGCAAAAGAAGGGGGATGAAAATTTGCTCTGAGTAGAAAAATTACATCTTGCAGACTAGAAGAATGTTACATTCAAGCAAATATTCTTATTTATAGGAGTGACATTGATGGGTGGACATATAGAAAAGAATTTGCGTGTATATGAGCCAGTTTCCCTTAGAAAGTCCTCCACAAAGGCATCCATCCCCTTAGGCAGATAGCCCTAATGTGCTTTGCTGTAATTAAATAAATTAGTTTTATTTAAACCAATAGAAAAGAATTTGATTTTTGTAGTAAATGTGAAATGATTGAAATTCCCTGTTCTCCCTGCATTTAATGATGTTCTATGAGATTTTTAGTTTACCTGTGTAGTAAGGCCATCATTTATGGTATGTATAGTCATTTTGAATGCAGCTTAATTTATGGAAAAAATCTAGATGCTTTTGAATTTTTAAATGAAATATGTTGCAATTTAGTTTATTAAGTTAATTTTTGTTAAAAAGTTAAAAATACTGATAGAAAACTTTTTATTTTTATTTCACAGAATCGCATGGCAACCATTTCTCTTTTACAATATAAATCATTTATAATAACTTTTATACTAAACAAAAAACTTTCAATCTACTTATTGGTAAAATGTAATGTTTCTTTTTTAAAAGTAAAGTACGAGTATGTAGAGTATTAAAAATGAAATTACTTAAGGTGTCTGTCTTTGCAATTCACACATTGATTAATGGAATTCTGCTTATAAGCAAGGCCCACAGACACATGTATTCTACCTTTCTCAAACATTCACAGTTTTATTTTTCTTACATAGGTTAATTTGATGATATTCATGCTTATTAGCTGAAGAAACATCGTTAGCTTCTTGTGAGAGTAAGAAAGTTCTTTTAGAGAATACAATTTTCTCATCACTATTCTGCCACATCTAAAATAAAATCGTAGTGTCTAATGTTTGCATTGCCAGTAGTTTCCTTATAGATAATCCATCAATATCGTAGGTAATCAAGGTTAAAAAAAGACACTTGTACTCATCCAACATTGGGGTGGAGACTTGACGGAATGTCTTCAGGCTATTTGATCCAAAACGTCTTTTGCTGTGTTGTAAAAACATATAATAAGCCTTAAGATTTTTCTGCTCATTTAACTCAACCTCCTGATTTAGATGAACTCATAAGTAAAACATTTTTGTTCTTTTCCCCTGATATAATCTTTTTCTCTGATGTGAGAGATATATTATCATGCTTGACAACTTTACTAAACTCTAAAGATATAAAGAAATCCTTAGTAGTAGCATTTCTTCTGCAGTTAAAAAAAGGCTTCAGTCAACCAATAAACTGCATACTTCCCTACAGTTTCTTCATTTGGTCTACTTTCATTTTTTTCCTGAATAAGAATATACATTTGCTGGTTTTTATATCAGCTAAAAGCCAAATTTTACGCTGAATTTATTGGATTTTTGTGGCATATAGTCAACAAAGATGTATCTTCCCTTTCTAGAGAATAGTTCTTCATCAATTGTAATATTTTGAATTTGTAGCACAGTTAACAATTCTGAAACAAAAGCAAATTTTTCAGTTTGTGATTTTGGCATTCTGGGTGACTTCTAGTCAAAGTGCACAGATTTCATTATTTCTAAGAATATGTCTCTTGGTATTGTTTCACACAAGAATTTTGGGCACCAAGGTTCCAGCCATAAAAGAAAAACAAAGTCCTTTGGCTATCCTTTGCCACAAGCATATAATAGAGTGATAAAAAAAAGTGTCTAGCCCATCAAGCCACAAATTCTAATTTAGATTTCCCAACCTTTGATGTGCCTCGGCTTCTGTGCAGTGTTGTATTAATTATGCTTTTTTTTTCTTAGAAAACGTTGGCCCATAAGTGTCTTCTGAAGCATGTTAAAGAGGAACCTTTCCAAATTTCTAAAATATCCCCCCCCCCGCACTGTACGATAATTTATTTGATCTTGGTATTTTGGTTGATTTTCTTCATTTTCAAAATAGCTAATTTCTGAATGGACTGTGGTTTGTTCCACAACCTCATTATCTTTTTGTCCACAGACTTCCACAGGTGCTACCCTGTCTTCAATTAAATTTTATTTCAGTGCTGATTCTTGACTTCTGCAATGCAATCATCTTTTGTTAGAACTTTATTTTTGTAATTAGTTGAAATCGTCTTTGTCTGACAGTATGGAAATCATGAAAGAATGTCATTCTTCTCGGGCCCAGGTGATGAAATGTAACACTTCTAGAAGAAATAATATAATTGTCATTTGATGAATCATATTCATTTGTAGTCGTTAGAATAACCTGTTCAGAATCAGATGAAATAGAGTAAATTTCTGCAATCAGTTTCTCATGAGAACTAATTTCTGAAGCAGGATTATCATTAAATAATTTTTTTTTTTTTTTTTTTTTTTTTTTTTTTTTTTTAATTCTTGCTATAGAGAAAAATTTAGATTAGTAAAAGTGGTTAGAGGCCTTGAATGCAAGGGAAATGAAGCATGCTGTAGGACACAGAACAAGACAAAGGACTTGTGAAAACATTAAGAAAGGCAAAAAACATGAAACCCATTTAGGAGATTATTATTTTGGGAAGAGAAAGCATTACTTTGATTCCAACCAGCTGTAGAATAATGTCTGGCATGAAACACAAAGAAAACACAAATAAATGGTGTGAGAATGCTGATACATCAAAGCTCCATTAGTCTTTTATTTAGGGAAGAGGGGAAAAAGTGACTGTTAGCCATGATTTTAGATATGTGCTGTTATACTTTAAAAAGTAAAGTTTTAAAATCATTTAAAATAGGCCAAATAAGTTATTTTGTTGCCTTGGTATATATTTTAGGAAAGGTAAAAAAAATGTGGTATTTATTAAGAAAATTTTTAAAATATGAAGACTAATTTCTTTGCGGTCAAAATGACTGTTTTCATAAATCTAGCATTAAAAAAATTATGCTTTCTGTATATGCCAAATAATGGTACACTGCTACCAAAGATGAATTCAGATTATGGCTACCTCTGGAATTTTAGAGAACTACAAAATTTGGAATTATTGGAACCTTTTTTTTATTCTATATTTTAAATCTGGCTCATTTTAAGTCTGTGATAAAATGCAGAAACCATAGAATCAAATATGTAACATGCTTTTGTGAAATTAATGAAGAATTTATTAAGGGAACTGAAATATACACTCTCATTTAGGACAAAAAAAAATTCTTTTGGATGTAGCATCGACATATATGTTGTTTTATTTATTTATTTCAATATAAGCAGTTTAAGCAATTTCATTTTTGTCCTATTATTTTCTGGGGAATTTTAGAGAGGCATAGTTTCTTCTTCAAAGTTCCATTATTCAAGTTCTGTAACTAATGAGCTGAGAAGTCTCACTAAAATGTTAGTTGAAATCTTTTCATTCTGAACAACTTTGTCACTTCTTCATCATCATAGTTGATATTTCCTTTATTTAAATCCATTTTAGATATTTCAGTCTCTGTTGATTGATAATGGGGCCATTATCTTCAAAATTGATTTCATTTGAATCATCCTCATTTACCATTTCTCCATACATTTCAGCAGTTCAAAGATTTTGAACTTTATTGGTGGTATCTGAAAACCTTCAAATTTGTGGCCATCATCCTCATGAAATGTAGTAGCTGGCCATAAATTACACCAAGCACTTTTATAATACGTAGCGTATTCGGAAACTAAGTACCGTTTCATTCTAGCGCTGTGGTAGGCGTCCTGCCCATGCACACTGGTCTTTTTTGTTCACTGACTTTCCATTGTCGCCATTTTGGTGGCTCTATGTTGTATTTTCAGTTTGCTGTGCACATTCAAAATGTTTAAGACAATTAGTTCTCCCGCTAACTGTGAGATTCGTGGTGTGATTAAATTTTTGAACGCGAGGAATGTTAAACCGGCCGAAATTTATCGTCAAATGACAGAAGTTTACAGTGAATATGCGATAAGTGATGGAATGGTGAGAAAGTGGGTAAGAATGTTTAATGCAGGTCAAACAAATGTTCGCGCCGAGGCTCGGAGTGGTCGGCCTTCTGTTGTCACCGATGATTTGGTAAGGAAAGTTGATGAAGCAATTCATGAGAACAGACGCTTTCCACAAATTTCACATACTGTTTTGTTCAAAATTGTGTCTGACCGCTTGAATTATCGCAAACTGTGTTCCCAATGGGTTCCAAAAATG